AAAATATATATATATATATATATATATACGTATATATATTTGACTATCTTGTTGTTTCTTTGTTTGTTTATTTACTTATTTATTTATTTCAGCATTTACCCAATATTTAAAATATATCTCAATATGTTAAACATTTAAACATCACCAAACGATTAAATGCCCCAATACTGGGTACATTTATATTTATATAATATAATATATTTGTATAGTTGTATGTATATTATTGGATTTATTTTTTAAGCCTTTTGCCAATATTCAAAATATATCTCCATATTTAAAACATTTTTCCTATCAGGAATATATTTTATATAATAAATATTGACAATATTTATATAGATATTTATATAGATATGCAAATATAATTGAACAGATTTTTCTACCTATCAGCTTCAATGCTGTTTTTCTACTTAAGTTTAAATCACACCGTAAATAAATAACAACCAAGCATGCAGCAACAAATAGCATGACCACTGTTGTCTGATTCACAAACTCCTATGAACCAGTTCTATTAAATAATTGATCTAAAAGACTCACTAATGCACCAGCTATGTGAATCTGTTACTGACTTACTGACTGGATGTTTATATGACAAAGATTTTGTTGTAATAAATGGTATGTTAATTAAAAGAACATTGAAATTTGGTACATTAAATAGATTTGGTTAATATGCATGTATGCATACTAAACAAAAACTGCAAGAAACACTGGCTCATAGAAACACATTCATAGTGACCCAATTATCAGACTAATTATCAGATTTATGTGTCCTTAATAAACACCCCACGGCTTTATTCTCTGATGTTTATAGTGTGGTATAAATGTGTCTGTGGCAGGTTGTGAACGAGGCGGTGGGGGCGATGATGTACCACACCATCACTCTGACCAGAGAAGATCTGGAGAAATTTAAAGCCCTCCGAATCATAATCCGCATCGGTAGTGGATATGACAATATCGACATTAAAGCAGCTGGAGAGATGGGTAAGAAGTGTTTCCTGGTCACAATTTTTGGTCTTAAAGGGATAGTTCACCCAAAAATTAAATTTCTGTCATCATTAACCCTCAAGTTGTTCCAAACCTGTATGAGTTTCTTTCTTCTGTTGAGCCAAAAATAAGATATTCTGAAGAATATTCTGAAACATGGAAGTCAGTGGCTACCGTCAACTGTTTGGTTACCAACATTCTACAGAATATCTAACTAATAAGCATTACATAACATTATAATACATTCTAATACTTATCTATTCATTGTTACACCTTTAGAAAGTATAATGCATTCAGACACATGACCAGCTGCACATGTAACAAGGAATTTGCAAATATTATAATGCAAAGAAATGTTTTGGAAGTTTGCATAACAACAACAACAATAATAATAATAAAAACCAGTAACACTTTATTTGAAGCATTTATATATAATGCATTATGAAAGTATTTTTAGCACATTAATTATGCCTTGTAATGCACATTTTATGCATTGGATTGTAACCACAGTTCTAATACATTATAATACTTATCTGTTCATTGTTACATACTGTATATGTAATGTATTAAAACGCATGACAAACAACCAGGTGCAGATATAGCAAGGAATCTGCAAATATTATAATGCATTTTAACTTTATTTATTATTTATGAAACAATATAATGCATTTCAACATATGAATACTGATATAATGCATGACACATAATGCATTATACGTAACAAAAAATCAGGTGCAATGTTGTTTTAGCAGCTTTCTGGACAATAAAATACACCTAATTAATGACAGTGAGAAACCTGAATGGTAGATGATATTGTGAAAAGCCATAGCAAATAAAATGTTGAATGAAAACATGCTACTGAAATCAAATACTGCTTAACTGAGAAACCAGGTTTAATCTTTGTTCAGAAACACAAAGTATTCTGCATGTAGTGAAGAAAAGTCGGATGTTTGAAAGTTTGAAAACCGAGACAGAAGGAGGTACAGGAGAGAGCTAATTGTACCTCTGGGACAGACAGTTTATATGGTTAGAATAAAAGGAGAAATATTACAGATACAGCTCAATACAGGTCAAATCCATGAATGGAGAGAAGATGGGATCTGGGGTTACTTGACTATCAGTGTTTATAGACCATCTGAGGCCATTTGAATCTGGTTTATAGAGTGTTCTGATATGAAAAGATTCATATTTACATGTTGCATAACATTTGTGCATGTCTGCAGGTATTGCGGTGTGTAATATTCCATCGGCCGCCGTGGAGGAGACGGCAGACTCAACGCTTTGCCACATCCTGAACCTGTACCGGAGGAACACCTGGCTGTACCAGGCCATGCGTGAGGGCACACGGGTCCAGAGCGTGGAGCAGATCAGAGAGGTGGCGTCAGGGGCTGCCCGCATCAGAGGAGAAACACTCGGACTTATTGGCTTTGGTGAGGGACAGAAATACTGGAACAATTATGCAGATTATTATTATGCAAAGGTGTTGTTTTTATTAACTAAAACTATTAAAAAAATGTTTTTGTTAAATTAAAGAATGTATAAATAAATTATAAATATGATTACATAACTTAAAAATAAAAAAACTTAAATGAAAATATTCTTGCCTTTGCAACTAACTGAAATAAGTTTTATTTGACTTACAAAAATGACTAAAACTACAGTTGAAATAAAAATAAATTAAAGCAAGCAGAAATACTTAAAAATGTAAAAAATGCTAAAAGCAAAAAAATACTACTAAAATTACTGAAATAAAATATAAAATATATTAAAATATAAAAATTAAAGTCAAAATATGAATAAATAAATAACACTTTGTTGACAGTTATGCAGTTGTAGTAAGCATGTAATAATGCTTGCTATGTAATAATAATGCTTGTTAATGTCATTTAATGAAAATTATTGCTATTATTATTGAACTAATTATTAGTTATCGTAATAATGAAATCAAACTAATTATAAATATATACACTAATACATTTTATAAAACTGATTTAGTTATATTTATGTTTGAATGAACATGAACTCATTTACTGTTTTTGTAACAGCAAAATCATCATAACTATGAAATAGCGCAAATTAAATTATAGGAATTATAGAGATCAAAACATGCACAAATATCTTAAGTGTCAATTTTTCAAAATTGAGATTTGTACATCATCTGAATAAATAAGCTTTCCATTGATGTATGGTTTGTTAGGATAGGTCAATATTTGGTTGAGATACAACTATTTGAATATCTGGAATCTGAGGGTGCAAAAAAATCAAAATATTGAGAAAATCGCCATTAAAGTTGTCCAAATGAAGTTCTTAACCATACATATTACTAATTAAAAATTAAGTTTTGATATATTTACGGTAGGAAATTTACAAAATATCTTCATGGAACATGATCTTTACTTAATATCCTAATGACTTTTGGCATAAAAGAAAATTCTATAATTTTGACCCATACAATGTATTTTTGGCTATTTCTACAAATATCCCCGTGCAACTTAAGACTGGTTTTGTGCTCCAGGGTCACATATGTTGATAGTTATATATAGGCACGATTTATCACTGTCTATAAGACTGATTTCAAGCATTTAAGAAAAATTCAATTAAGTGTTCTATTTTGACCTGTAGACATGAAGATGTTGCAGAAATACTGCAGGAATAGTTCAAATAAATGATGTCATCATCTAATCAGGTCACTCATGTCAAATTTCAGTCCGTGTCAGTGGTGACAGTGGAGGTTTCCAAATTCCAAATAGGACAAAAAAGCACCATAGTTGTCCATATAAGTTATATATGCCATCCTAAAGTCATTTCTGCTGGATGGGTTTGTGTTTACATGTTTATGTATATTTGTCTCATAGGCCGATCGGGACAGGCTGTGGCTGTTCGAGCAAAAGCGTTTGGCTTCAGTGTGATCTTTTATGACCCGTACCTGCAAGACGGTTTAGAGCGATCGCTGGGCGTCCAGAGAGTTTACACCTTACAGGACCTCCTGTACCAGAGCGACTGTGTGTCTCTCCACTGCAACCTAAACGAACACAATCACCACCTCATCAACGACTTCACCATCAAGCAGGTACATTACACACAAACGGCCCAATAATCCCATCCGGCGATCAGGAGCTCCATCTGGTGACTGTGGCGTGAACATGACTGTGAAATATCATGTATGATGTTTTGATAGATGCGACAGGGAGCATTTCTAGTCAACACAGCACGAGGGGGTCTGGTAGATGAAAAAGCCCTGGCTCAGGCTCTCAAAGAGGGTAGGATACGGGGGGCCGCCCTGGATGTTCACGAGTCTGAACCCTTCAGGTAACATTTGGAATGACATACCAATTGTAATCCAAACTCCATGTTACTTTATCTTAGGTTATTGGATGCAACTCCAAACTTTTCTTCAGCTGCACCAAAATTTGCATGTTATTAGTTCTATTCACTCTTAAAAATAAAGATGCTTCACGATGCAATAGAAGAACCTTTTTTGTCTAAATTGTTTCAATTAAGAACCTTTAACATCTGAAGAACCTTTCTGTTTCACAAAAGGTTCTTTGTGGCGAAAGAAGGTTCTTCAGATTATAAAAAGGTAAGAAAGAGATGAAAGAGACTGAATGGTTCTTCTATGGCATCGCTGTGAAGAACCTCTTAAGCACCTTTATTTTTAAGAGTGTTCAATATGCGAAATTAGGCTTAGTGCATTCTAGGTAATATAGTACATTGAAAATGGTCTATTGTTTTTGGTGGATTTTCAAAATGTGCATCCATGAATGCTCTTTTGGCTAATATGTTACCCAAAAAAATGCAAATCTAATTAATGCTTACTTTTTAGCTCTGGCATTATACTTTTCTAGAACATTTGATATGTGCTGCTCTGCATGTGTATTTATTTATTTATAAAACTGGTTTAAATGGCTTCTTTATTTATTGTATTAATCTCACTTGATTATTCTTACTCTCATTTGATAGTTACTTTTATTAGTATGCAAAATTTTAGTATTAGTATTAATATTAGTATTAATACATTTTAATATTGAAATGTATTGATCCAAAGTTGAGTAATAATACATTTTAAGGTAATTAATTTAGTTTGCTTTTTTTTTTTTTTAAAGAAATTAGTACTTTTTTCAGAAAAGAAATGTAAATCCAGGTGAATGGATCAAAAGACATTTATAATGTTACAACAACAACAAAAAAACTATTTCAAATAAATGCTTTTCTTTTGAACTTCCTGTTCATCAAACAATCCTGGAAATGTATAAATGTTTCCACTAAAATATTATGCAGCACAGCTGTTATCATGTGACACTGAAGACTGGAGTAATGATGCTGAAAATTCAGCTTTTCATCCCAGGAATAAATTACATTTTAAAATATATTCAAATAGAAAACAGTTATTTTAAACCGTAATAATATTTCACAATATTACTGTTTTACAGTATTTTTAATCAAATAAATGCAGCTGTAATGAGCAATAGAGACTTTCTTCGATAACATTAACAAAATCTTACTGACGGTAGTGACGTTTAATGTGTAGTAAATTGACATATAGTCTAATTCTGTCTTCCTCATCCTCTGGTTTTCTCTCAGTTTTTCTCAGGGTCCTCTGAAGGACGCGCCCAATCTGATCTGCACCCCTCACACGGCGTGGTACAGTGAGCAGGCCTCACTTGAGATGAGAGAGGCAGCGGCCACTGAGATCCGCAGGGCCATCACCGGTACTAAATCTCCCATTGACTTCATGTATTCAAATATTTGCTATTCAAAATGTACCACTTCTGATGATGAGCAATGAACATTGTGATTATCAATATGGGCAATATCAACTGTGAAGAGGGGAGTCCTGATTTCTCTCTCTTTCTTTCACTTCTGTCTATATTGCATATCTTTTCAAACTATCATTTTACCTCAAACATTATTCTTTTGCTGCCTAGTAAGCACTTGTATTTTCTTCAGGAAATGTAAATCTAGTTTCTTTTATAAGCTCTCTATCTGTCTCTCAAAGCATCCGTCCTATTGTAAATCAGTCATCGTGTGTTGGGTTTGTTCTGGTTTTCAGGTCGTATTCCAGACAGTCTCAGAAACTGCGTCAACAAAGAGTTTTTTGTGACTACGGCGCCGTGGGGGGTGATGGAGCAGCAGGTACATCCAGAGCACAACGGCGGAGCCTACAGGTGACAAAAGAGATCATCTGTTATTTCACACATCACCTCGTTCATCATATCATACTAACCCTTATTCTATGCATCCTTGAGTTTGTTACCATCACATACACCCTCTTTTCTAGGATTGACAATCTAGAACTGGTTTTTATTTAGAACTAAACCCGAAAGATTTTTAAGTGCATTCATTTCTGTTAATCTTTCAGTCCTAAAAAATCATTTTAATATAATTAACCCTTTTTAAAATCATTTTCTTAAGTAATTTATTTTTAATTATAAATAATATTATTATTTTTTTATCTGAACTATTCTATATACTATAACTATATAACAGCATGTGATAATAATATAGACAGAATTTTTATTGAATAGTTTAAGTTTGTTTTTCCTACTACATTGGCAAATATTCTTTTCTTGTTTTCAGTATAAATCATAATTTAGTGAAATTTATGACCATAAAACAAGAAAAATTATTTACCAGCGAGACACATTCAGAAAATTATGTAGTAAATGGTATAATAGTAATAGTTGAATAAATGGTATAATAAATATTAGTTGTTATTAAATAATAAATAGTATTTTATTATAGTATTTACTAAAATAATTGATTGAATACTATGATAATAAATATTTAGAGTAAATAGTAATAGTAATAAATGGTACAATAAAAATGTTTTTTATTAAATCAATAGTATTTAAAATATAGATTTGTCTAAAATAGTATAGTAAGTAGTATAATAATAGTAAATTGAAATTTTAAGTTTATTTAATGGTATGATAAATATAATATTTTAATTAATAATAAATGGTGTTTAAAAAAAAAAACTCTGAGTATGTTACAAAAATGCTGATGTTTTTGTTTAAAGTGAATAACAGCCACAAAAGTACTAAATCAATGAAATTGGTGATAAACCTGAATCATCCAATTAAATCTGAATCAAAACCAGACTGAATCCCTGTTCTTTTCCCCACTGGACTGAAGATCACTCCTTCCAAATTCATCGATTCCACTGTATGAGCAGCCAAGCAGTACAGCGGCTGTGTTCAGCTATGCAAACACGCTTCATTAGTTCATCCCTGTGTAGTGAGTGTTATCCCTCCAGATCACCATATGCAAACAGACTCAAACGAGACCGCTGTCTGTCCCTGTGGCACACATAAATTAACTTCGACAGAATCACCTCTAGATTTACCCGCTATGACCCTTCTGAACATTTCCCTGAACTAACACTAACATTTTTATGCATTTAACTCTCCAACACACACACACACACAAACCAGCCCGATTGTGTTGCTCAGTCTGATTGCTCAACAGACTCAAACGAGACCGCTGTCTGTCCCTGTGGCACACATAAATTAACTTCGACAGAATCACCTCTAGATTTACCCGCTATGACCCTTCTGAACATTTCCCTGAACTAACACTAACATTTTTATGCATTTAACTCTCCAACACACACACACACAAACCAGCCCGATTGTGTTGCTCAGTCTGATTGCTTCTCTCGCTCAGCAGAGTGGCCCAGCCGCTACCAGCCGTTTCTCCTGGCGGCCTGCAAGACAAAATGTATACCTAAACAATGACAGGTAACTACTTACAGCGTGCTGAGACACAGAGCGCAAGACACCGTCTAAACAGATCTAAAAACACTTGATGAACAAAATAAAACGATATCCTCACCTTTTGTTTTGACATTGCTCATTCCCATAGAACATGCAAATATCATGTGATGCCTGCTAATTGGTTTCTCATTAGTCCTACCGTTATTTAAATTATACATAATATTTGTTACCTCGTGTTTTTAGCTGTGTTGTGTTTGCATTTGTTGTGCTGAATTAGACTGCCACTTTTTTTTTTTTTTGAGAAATTGAGAAAAATTATTTGAGAATTCAGTAAATCAATCAATAAAGAAATACATGATAATAATGTGAACGTAATGAGTATAAGTGATCCATTAATTTTTAGAAATGTCGAATGTTTGTAGAAGTTATCACTTTTTACATTGATATTGATTTCTTGTCAATTTTTAACTTACAATTCAAATATGACAAAGTATATTCACCTTTTGATGTTTTTAAACTATTAAATGAATAATTATTTGATTTAAGATAAATCAATAAAGAAATACAAGATAATAATGTGAACGTAATGAGTATAAGTGATCCATTAATTTTTAGAAATGTCGAATGTTTGTAGAAGTTATCACTTTTTACATTGATATTGATTTCTTGTCAATTTTTAACTTACAATTCAAATATGACAAAGTATATTCACCTTTTGATGTTTTTAAACTATTAAATGAATAATTATTTGATTTAAGATAAATAAAATGGATACATTTAAGTCTCTTCTGATAAAAATACAGGAAAAACGGTAATATTGTGAAATATTATTACAATTTAAAATAACAGTTTTCTCTTTGAATCTATTTTAAAATGTAATTTATTCCTGTGATCAAAGCTGAATTTTCAGCATCATTACTCCAGTCTTCAGTGTCACATGATCCGTCCGAAATCAATCTAATATACAGATTTGCTGCTCAAGAAACATTTATTGTTATCAATGTTGAAAACAGTTGTGCTGCTTAATATAGTAATTTTGTAGAAGCAGTGATGCATTTTTGCAAAGATGATTTGATGAATTGACAGTTAAAACATTTTTTTTATTAGAAATCTTTTATAACATTATAAAAGTCTTTGTCACTTTTGATCAATTTAATGCCTCCTTGCTGAATAAAAATATTAATTTATTTAAAAAAAAAAAATCTTACTGGGCCCCAAGCTTTTGAGCAGTAGAGAATATAGCAGTGATTTGTTTTTGTCTGCAAAATTAAGTTTAAGCATTAAAGCTGAAGTCTTGAGATCAAATAATTTTTTTAAAGAAACCTGAGAAACATTTCAATCAAATGTGGCCAAACTTTTGCTAGAGTATAAATGAAGCTTTTGAGTCTGTAATCATGTGGTAAAGGGCGGAGCATAAAGCTGACGACCTCATTATACCTCTCATTATTTCCTCTGTATTTTCTCAGGTTTCCTCCTGGTGCGGTAGGTGTGTCTCCTGGTGGCATGGGTGGACAGATAGAGGGCATGATGCCCGGCGGGGTGCCCGGGGCCCACCCCCAGCCCAGCCTCGCCCCGTCCCCCACCCAGCTCCTCTAACACAACGACCATAGACAACACCTCGCCAAGTCATAACCACCTGACCACTGACCGACAGTCATTCAGCAAAACTGCAAATCAAAGAGACTAAGAGACAGTAAACGGGTGAACAAGCAATCAGCTGCCGCTAGCTGCACCGGAGACATGCTTCACGGACGTCTCTCCATCGTCTTGTTTCAGTGTTTTTCCATTCATTTCCATCGTTTCTGTTGTTCTTGTGAGGGGAGGACATAATTTCCACCTGTTTTTGAAACAGGTGGGCAGTGCTTTCTTTGTCGGGGGCGTGGCATGACATAATGGCCATACCTCTTTTCTTGTGCACCACTTACAGAGTTCGAAACGTTGACAGTTATCAGATGCCATGCACTTGTCTTCTTCCTCTTCGCCTTATTTGGGCCCCTAAACTAAACTCATAACTGTTTTTTTCTTTACATCCACAGAATTAGTGCTTGTCTTTGTTTGAATGTTAAAAGTGCTTGATAATGAAAATATATATATACAGTGTATCTATTAAGAGAACAGAGAGGTAAAGGCTGGTCTTGGGCAAAAATGAAGATGAATTATTAGCTTTTATCCAACATTTTGCATAGCTGACCTCTTGTTTACAGAATTGCACAAATTCAACAAGCACCAGCTCAGAAACAAGTCCTCTTCAAGACCCAAGAGCACACTATTTTACTGATATATCCATTCATTTCAATTCAAAATGAGTTTGCAGGATTTAAAATACAAACTGCGTTAGGTTTTAAGATGTCAGTTTCCAAAATCTTCAATTTGGATTTGAGTGAACGTCACCGTGAGGGACATAATTTTGATTTTGTTTGCTTTCAAAAAAAAAAAAAAAAAAAAGATGGCAGCTCACACAAAAAAAGGGACTGGAGTGAAAAACCGCCCCTGTCTCAGGAAGAACATTTACCGGTTACTCCAAAACACACGACAGCCCCGTCTAAATACTCGCTCCTTCCCGTCAGCCTACCCGAGGTATTTTTATAGATCTGACATCCAGTGCGTTTTTGGTGTTGAATGTATGGCAGTTAAATTAGATTTGTATTGTCTAGTTTAATGTTTTTGTAACCATACTTTCCTGTGATCCTCTCCCTGTTCCTTTTCATTTTGGGTTCTTTATGTGGAAGCGCACTGTTCGGAGCTCATTGTGTTGTTTATATGCAATATTCTGAGGTCCTCGGCCAACTCCAGTCAGGTTGGTTCTGGAACTGTAGGTTTGGTTTTTAGTGTGAGTATTTGTATTTGTTTATTGTACCGAGGTGAACATTTAGCATACAGTACAGTTCAAATAAAAAATACCATTCTGACTTTCTATACTCTGCTTGTGTGTTTGTCTCGCTTTACACACACATTTATGAAGGTCTGACAGGATTTGCAGTATGTAATGACCTTCAGATAACCCCCGCATGCGTCTTGGACGCCACAAGGGGTCGCTGTGGATCTGGGTTTATAAGTTTTTTTTATGCACGATAATGTTCAATCATATTTATATGCATACTTTTGGTAAAATAATAATACGAGAGAAACTAGTCTTTTACAAAAAAAATAAAAAATGAGAACATTAAAATAAAAAAAATCATGCTTAAGCATTTTTCGGGGGTTTCAAGATGTGTGCACTGAATTTATTTAATACACGAGTTTCACAATTTGAGTTGAATTACTGAAATAAATGAACTTTTCCACGACATTCTAATTTATTGAGATGCACCTGTATATATATATATATATATATATATATATATATTTATGTTTATGATAATATATTTATTTATTTATGTGTGTGTGTGTGTGTTAAGGCTAGTTTCTGTCTGTCTTTACCAAAAATAAACCCACCCCAAAACACTTAAGGCACTTATTTTATTTATAATAATTATTTATAAATCATTTATAACCTAATACATGTATCCCTGTAGTGTCATTATATATTGACATTCTGACATTCACGGCAATTGTGACAATTGGCTTTTTGGGGTCATTGTCATATTCTACACCCCCATTTATTAATTTTAATATTTGTTATTTATGGCTACATCATTAAAATGCTATATTATTCACTGTTATTAACAGTTTTTTTTATCAAATTATTTTAAAGTTAAAATTATGCTATTAAAAAGTTATTTTTTAAATAAAACATACAAGTATAGTTTAGTAAATTATTTCCTAAGTAAATTGTTTGACTATTTAACATTCTGATATAATATGGCAATAAAATGTTCATGTTTTGTGTGTGTCCTGTAAATTTAGCCTATTCCTTTTTCAATATAAAGATTTGATCTTGTTTACCTGATATGCCTGTGTTTTGTCCTTGCTTGCTTTCACTCCAGTATTTGCTTAGTGCTGATATTGTGGGATGTGGTGTTCAGATATGACAGGACTTTGGACACTGGCATTGTTCTATGCGTCTCAGTAGATCAATGCTGTCATAGTTTGAATAGTTCACATGAACAGACAGTGTTTTAGTGCTACAGTGAATGTCATGAAACTAAATCTATTCTTGGATAGAGCATTGGTCATGTGAGGTGCATCACCGTCTGGTAAAATCCTTGTGAACATAATGGAAAGCTAGAGTATTCCCAGATGCCTGTTTGACCAATACAATGGCAGTATGCAATGCAATGAAAAAAAAAAAAAGGTAAACATAAGGCATACATTTTTATATAGTATCATATATTAACTATTGCAAAACAAATTAAACTTTATCAAATGCATATATCATGCAATAATTCAGCAACATTATTTTGCAACTTGCAAAATTAAATGAAATTAAAAGTTACAAAGAATTAAAGAGAAAATCTGTGGCTACTAAATATAGGCCAATAATACATGACAGTAACATAGGTTGAGTGTGTGTGTGTGTGTGTATATATTTTTTGCTACGTTTTGCTCTGTTTTGCTACGTGGACTGCGTTAGGCTAACCGAGACTTGTCATTTGCACTTATATATTGTTGCTCTTTTGTTAGTTTTGACTGCTTTTATTGTCCTCATTTGTAAGTCGCTTTGGATAAAAGCGTCTGCTAAATGACTACATGTAAATATATATATATATATATATATATATATATAAAATAACCTTTTTCCCAGAATATCACATTTTCGTTTCACTTTTTAAGAAAATAAGAGAGAGACTGGCGCTCTTCCGTATTCGCATTGAATGACCTTTGCATTGTGGCTCCTCCCACTTCCGCTGCACAGGTGAGTCGTGTGTGACGTCATCGAGCATGAAGGGAGGAAACTGCGTTTGGTAGTTTTTCCTTCTAAACTGGGTTCAAATTCACGGATACAGATATGTGTGATTTCGGTAAGACGGTAATTTATTTCTTTTTATTGCAGGCGCGAAAATTATACGTGATTTATACTCAAGCCGTAAAAAACGGTGTCCAGCGAAAAGAAGCCTCCGACAATCAGTTGTGTTCTCGTGAAGTGCGCGTCTTTTGTAATGTTTACATTTTCCTCATTTCTATTCACTGTAGAAAATAATATTTAGCAGCTGAATAAACTTTTAGGAACAATATTTTGCACTAAATCCTGCTAAAGCAGATTAGTAGGAAAATGGTATTTGCGTCACAGTTATAAATGTTATAAACTATATAAATCAGTTGATATGTATTACAAGTAATTTTTTTATTGAGGCAACACTTAAAATGTTTGTCAAATACATTTCAAGATAAATAAAATCCACTGGAGTTCATAGCAAAACTGCTTATTAAACGTTTAGTTTGTTCTGAGAAAAGATGGACTTTTAAGTCCACTGTATGAAAGTGTGCTATATTCTAGACAAGCAGAAGGGCCCTGGGCTGCTGATGAAGAAAGGATTGACCCTCATTGTCATCGGTCATGTTAATTTCATCCTGAGTGCCATTGTCCATGGCAGCGTGTTACGCCATGTATCCAAACCCAGCAATGAGATCTCAACAGAGTATACCGTATCAAACATCATCTCCGTCTCCTCAGGACTGCTGGTGAGTGGTTGCACTTCTGTGGCTCCTAAATGATGCTGATTCAACTCCTGCATGTAGGCCTAATCTCCAGTAAGTGATGCTTTCTGAATCTCGAGAATATTCACTCAGAGAAGGCCTGGTCACATGTCTGTAAATGTAAATTAAAGAATTTGCTACTACTTTTGGGTATGCTGCATCACCCAGTTCACCCGAGTACAGTCTGCATATTGACTGAAGGAATATTTCACACAAAAATTAAAATCTGCGCAAATTTTACTCACCCTCAGGTCATCCAAGATGTAGATTCTTCATCAGAGAAGATTTGGAGAAATGTAGCATTACATCACATGCTCACCAATGAATCCTCTGCAGTGAATGGGTGCCGTCAGATTGAGAGTCCAAACAGCTGATAAAAACATCACAATAATTCACGGTAATCCACATGATTCGAGTCCATCAATTACCATCTTTGTGTTTATAAGAAACAAATCCATCATTAAGGCGTTTTAACTTCAAACCGTTGCTTTTTGCCAAAATATGAGTCCATAATACATAATCCGTAATAATGCTTCCTCCAGTGAAAAAGTCCATCCTGTGTTGTCCACTCACATGAAAATCCACTAACCTATTTGTTTAGAACTGTTTTCGCTTTGCTTGATCTGTGCATATTTCTCTCCTGATTCAGATGAGATCATCTTTTTCACTGGAGAAAGCAATAATATGGATGGAGGACTTGTTTAAAGTAAAAAATGTCTTAATGATACATTTGTTTATTACCAATATGCAGCTTTTTGCTTCACAAGACATTAATTGATGGACTGGAGTCGTGTGGATTATTGTGATGTTTTTATCAGCTGTTTTTGGACTCTCGTTCAGACGGGACCCATTCACTGCAGAGGATCTAAATTTCTCCAAATCTATTCTGATGAAGAAACAAACTCATATACATCTTGAATGGCCTGAGGGGAATACATGTTCAGCAAATTTTCATTTTTGGGGGGCGAACTATTGCTTAGCTGTTTAGAAAATTGCTTATAAAACTCTTTCACACATTTAACACACTGAACTTTTTGGGGTTCCTGAGTAGTTTTAACATTTCTACATCTTCCCACAGAATAAGAAAAATCTCAAACCTAATCATGTTAACATGTTTTTCTCAGAGCATTGCAAGTGGAATTGTTGCAATATTGGTGTCAAGGAATATTGCCAACTTGAAGCTGGTAAGTAGGCCTTATCTAGGGTGAATATATGTTCTCTTTATCAGTATGAAAGTATGAAAACAAAGCCAAAACCTGGACATTTTAGATGATTTAGGCATGTCTGGGAAAAAGAGAACGTATAGTCACACTAGCTTATCAACATTATTGTTCTGTATACCAATGCTAAAATACCACGTTCTTTCCCTGTAGTGTTTAACACAGCTCTGTTCTTCTGCTTCCTGTAGCACATCGGTCTGTTAGTGAGTTCCTTTCTGAACGCCTTTCTCTCGCTGGCGTGTTTAGTGGGGCTGATTTTGGCGATCAGTATGACCATTTCAGCCGACGGGAGCACGCTCATGAAAGGATGTAATTCCACTAACATGCCTGTGAATGCACGATCTCCGGTCATCGTCAACTGTCCTTTCGATGCCACCCGCATCTATGTGAGTCAGTCTATTGAAATGCATGTGGTGTTTTTGAAATAAATAAAATATAAAAGTTTGAACTTTCATTTTGTATGTGAAGACTGAACTGCTTTTTCTCCTCCAGGACACAACTCTTGCTCTGTGGTTCACCTGTGCTGCATTCACAGCACTTGAGGCTGGACTGTCTGTGTGGTGCTTTATTGTGGGTCTCCAGTTAAGAGGCATCGGACCCTGTGCTCAAACCTACATCAGAGAGCAGGTACATCTCTCAATATTCATGCAGACAGCTCAACTGAATGAACCTGCTGTTTAAAACCATAGTAATTTTCATAGGGATTTTCTGTGAACCTCTAACAGATTATGGACATGATTTGGCAGGGTTCTGAGCTCTTTATATATACATTTATGCATTTAAAGGAGTTGCTCACTCAAAAATGAACATTTACTCACCCTCAGACCATCCAAGGTATAGATGAGTTTGTTTCTTCATGGGAACAAATTTGGAGAAGTTTAGCATTCCATCACTTGCTCACCAGTGGGTCCTCTGCAGTGAATGGATGCCGTCAGAATGATGGACTGGAGTGGTGTGGATCACTTGTGGATTATTGTGATGTTTTTATCAGCTGTTTGGACTCTCTTCTGACGGCATCCATTCACTGCAGAGGATCCGTTGGTGAGCGAGTGATGTAATGCTACATTTCTCCAAATCTGTTCCCATGAAGAAACAAACTTATCTACATCTTACATGCAATTTTGGATGTTTTGTTCATTTTAGGGTGAACTATTCCTTTAAGGCAGAATAACATTTATCCAAAACAACTTGCATTGCATTCAGAGTATACATTTATCAGTTCAAAACACAGCCAATGTAATTCTAAGGGTCAGAGAGTGGAAAATGTCTTGTAAATCTGTAATTAGAAGTGATCAGTGATTTAAAAAGTTATAATATGGCCTCTTTTAATCAATGTGATTTTATTTCATGACAGCTAGAAGAGGAGGCACTAGCATCAGGATCAAAGATGGACCAAGACCACACAACTCAAGGAGAGCGTCTCATTGCACATCACTCCGCCAGCGCTTAGAGAGACAGTCCCAAGGTTAAGGTGGAAGTTTAATTAAATGCTGTGTAGTGAAACAGATCATAACAGTGGTTTGCATTCATACTGAGTTACATTCTGAGTTTGTATTATATGATAATGGTAGATGAATTGAAGCACTGAGGTTATGATACAGACAGTCAGTTGAGCTCCAATCAGATGAACGTTTGGACTAAATGTTTCCAGTCCACACATGTAGACTGTAATTAGGCCGAAAACATCATTATATCCATTATGTTGTTTTCTGAAACTGTATCTGGAGTTACTTTTTGTGGTTCTTGTTTACATTGAAAAACCCAACTTGTGCGTAATTTCAAAATTAAGATGATGATTTTTCTAAAGTGACTATTTGTATTCTTTTTTTATACGAGATGTTATTGTGCTTGTGATGTCAAATATACCAAAAATATTTTAGTTAACTTGAAAGCAGTTGTTTTAATAGCTAATGTGCCACAGACTGCTCTCTATAGCCGGTAGTCATTCAGATATTCCAGTATGCAGTATAGAGAGTGTGCCAGAGCGCCGTGAGACATGTTAATATGAGTTGGATTTAATGATGCAGAGGAAAATCTCACATTCACAGATAATCCAGTATGATTAAAGGCATTAAATATTGACATAGTGACGTGCCTGACACTGTCAAAGCAAAGGGATTTCCCTCTACATGATGCATTATAGTTCATTTCAAAAGACTGTGTTTGTGTGTTTAGAGAACTGTAATTTTGTTTCATTCCTGACAGATTATTCAAAAGTTCCTCATCTGAGTTCAGAGAGGTAAAGCATTGCTGTCTACATTTCATTTTATTACTTTTTAACACTGTAGTATGTCGTTGTTATCAGTGTGCGTTATATTTGAATAAATACATATTAATCTAAAAATATTTTTCGGAATCTTTTCTCAATGCAAATGTGTTCCATAATGAATAATTATTTAGATAAGCCTGTGAAATATTTTTCGATATGCAGATACAGTAATATCATTTTAGATGCCACAAAAAATGGTGAATGTTACTCTTTTAAATCTAAGTTTTAACCAAGAAAAAACTAATTTTCTATATTTTGTTTTTAATAGTCTTAAGAACAATTATCTAAAATGCAATTACCTATTGCATAAATTGTAGTTTTAAAAAGCTCAACAATTCAAACAAAAGTTATTTGACCCTCTTGAGGTGGATGAACAACATTTTCTGAAGACCTACTTTGACTGACGCTTTGTTAGATTGTAAAAACACTGATCTCACGCTGGCTCTGCTTAATTCCATATGTAAGTTGATGTTGTGTTCTCAGTGTTATGGTAAAGCTGACCTCATTCACTTCACTGCACCTGTTGGATTGCTGGACATCTGCTGCTCACTCAGAGCCTCAGAGACAAAAACCTAGTTATCTACTGACTAGATTATTAGATTCCAAACATTATGGTTATTACTTTATTTGGATTTGAGACTTTAGTCTTTGCAACTTTACAGATCTTCTTTATGCACCAAGAGCTTGTAACACTCCAAAGAGAAAGGAAAAATTAAAATCGCATCATATGACCCCTTTAAGACAGAGAAAAATACATCATTAACTACCCTGCTCCCCTGTTTACTAAGGTCACTGTGAAGTTTAGTTTGAGAGAATTTTATTATATGAACCAGTAGACCAAGATATTTAGTTATATATTGCTTACACACAAATATTTTCCCATTACCTATTATGTCACTGCTTTTATTGTGTGTTTTACTGAGCATTTGTTATATATTACACGTATAACATTAAACCCACAAAACAAGGTAGAACTGTTCAACCGCAGGAAAAAAATTATAATTAAACTTAAAAATATATAAAACAGAATTTAGTTATAAATTAATTCACCCAATTATTAGTTTTGAAATTAATTAATTAAATATGCACCCTAGCTCTGT